TGTGTGTGTGTTTTCATGAACAAGCACAAACTACAGTGAGAATGCTTCGTCATCAACTTTTAAGCTTCTTTTATAACAATGAAAATTAACAAGAAGAATTTAAATTTTTTCAGAACTTGAGCCATGTGTTGACTTTCTTAGAATACTGTACCTCATTTATTGATTATTCATTTTCTTTTATAGTTTGTTAGTTTTATAAAGAATTAAGACCACTGGTCTCTACTGTAATAGCTGGATTGCTCATTGGCCAATCCTTGTACAGAAAAAAAGTGAGGCCACCGACACCATGTTGGAGGGCCTACGTGACGTATCTGTGTAGACAAGTTTCTTTTGACATTTGTTTAAATTATTGTTAAAAATAATTATTCTTGCAATACTTTTCAATAATAACTTTAAATTTAACGCAAGAATTTTTTTCAAATCATTTAACCACTCGATGCGAGTGAAGTGAAGTCGCATTGTTATAGTGACATCGATCACTAACAATGCAAATAACTTCGCTTGCGTTTTTTAAAATTGCATAAACAGCAAAGAGTATATAACCATCACATCAAGTTGTTGGATAATTTGAAAAATAATCATTACGTTAAATTTATTATTACAAAATATTGCAAGAATCGTTATTTTTAACAATAATTTAAACAAATGCCAAAAGAAACGTGTCTAAACAGATACATCTCTTAAGCCCTCCAACATGGTGTCGGTGGCCTCACTAAAACCAGCCAATGAGCAATCCAGCTAATGAGAGATCAGTGGTTAAGACATGGATAGAGCTATCAATACAGAGTATATTCGGTCCAAAAATATAACTTCTGCCCTAATGTACGGACACTTTGTGATTTGTTGGATAATTTTTTGACTTAGTAGTACTATGGTGCTCTTTGTAGGCCTGAATAATGAATTCATCTGAATAATGAAAACAAATATCCACTAGAGTAGTGTGTAAATTCATACTTTACTACAACTGTCGGAAGTAGGCATACCAGCACGTTCAGTGCTTCATGAGTAACATTGTAGTGAGAGTGCGGTAAGTGCAAATGATACTACTCAGGGTACCAGCTTTAATAACAGAATAATTTAGTGGGATCTTATTGTCAACAATGTTATTCGAACTTAATTACTACTCCACTCTGGTTGAAATAGTAATTAAGTATACATTCAGGAGTGGCGCCAGGATTTGCTCGACGGGGGATTCGATGTCTCCGACGAAAAAAGTGGGCATGGTCGAGCGTCGCCCAAAATGTTTCGAAAATGTCCTACGGGGGCCAAGCCTCGAAAAATATCATGATTTAATTGTTTCGAAGGCTTATTTAATCGATTATAGTGTAATAATATGGAGAAAATGCAAATATATACGTCCTCGACGAATTGTGGTTTTTCTCCTCGGGGGAAGGGGGCCCAGCACTCCCCGGCGGGGGTTGGGGGGCACACCTGTATACATTTAAGATTAATATTATGCATGTTAACTATATGAAAATATATTTGTCTAGGCATACTAATATTATTTACAAATATAAAAACTATTGTCCTGGCTTCGAATTTTTAATATTCTAATAAATTTAGTGCGTGGCAGCCTAAATTGAAGCCGAATTTACCATAGGATTTTTATGGAAGTATTGCGGTGCTTCTTGTTTTGACTTCAACACCAAATCTCACCATTGATTGTGGTAAGACTTCGTCATCAATAAGACATTCATTTGCATTACAAGGCTTTAGTCTAAAATGCTCTTTTGTTGATTTTTGAGCCATGAAAAACCTTATCACTACTGTTGAGAATGCGGAGATCAGCATCTCTATACATTAATTAAGCAGACTTTGACCTTTATAATATCTCCATCTCCTGTAATTTCATTACCAATTTTTTGTATTGTTTTGTTTTGTATAGATTATGATATTAAGGTATCTTTATTCAATTAAAAAAACCACAACAAAACACATTTTTATAGCAGTCCACAGAACTGAATTGAGAAAAATTAGTACATTAAAAAGGAAATCATTCATTGTATAATTGATATTGTTTATCATTATTATTATTATTATTAAAGAGAAAAAAATCAAAATTGCACAAATTACACAAACAATTTGCAGGGAATCATAACGTATAAAGACAATTATTCAATTACAAAAATGTTTATATTGCTATTGCACAAGACGAAAGACAAACACTGGACATTTAAACGACAAAATTATAGGCATACAAGGAAAGACAGTTTTGACATATTGTGAGTATTATGAGATTTCGGAAACCAGTATTTAGATGATTTGATAGCAAAACGATTACAGAGAGAATATCTGCGGTTAGAGAGTCTCTCAAGACTCAAAGCGGATAGGGCCGAATGGTATGAAATTTACCCATTCAGAATGGATACCTTTGTAATATACTCTTTGTTTCCGTTCTGTGATAAAATCAACAATCCAAAGGAGGATGCAGGGGGGACTTTTTATATTTCTAATACGTCCAAGTTAAGTTATAACGACCACTCTATTAAAATTCATTTCACAATTTTCTCGCATCATTATAAACGTTTGAATGCCCCTTTTTTCATTTTAATAAAGCTTTTTTACGGTCTCCCAGAAAATGTCAGATGTTCATTATTATTTTTTATAATATTCATTTTAAATCACTGACTCTTCAACACCTTGATAATATATATGATGACATATGACATATTTTGATATGTAGGCCTATTTTCAGTCGTCTTTGATTATTTGATTTATTTAAATTCTTATAATTTAATTATATTAAAGTTCTTTTTCTTTTTCTGCCAAATTGACCTTAATTTGTATCGGTTATGGGTGAGTTAGCAGGAGTTCAATTATGATTTGCTTTTAAATAATGACTTTAATTTATACTGATGTTTTCAGAAAATTTATTTTTATATAGTTTTATTTTATTTTGTTTAGGTCTAAGGTACGCTGTCTCTTATACACATCTAGATGTGTATAAGAGACAGCTCTCCACCCAGGTGTACAAGTGGGTACCTGGTAGGTTCGAACACAACTGCGCTGATTACTAGCTGCAATATTATGGAATTCTCCTCAGGGAGCTGAGTATGTGTTCCATATATGTTTGGTCCAATGTAATTTGAAGCGCTTAGTTAGAGGCATTGTGCATAAAGCGCTATATAAGAGCGACATATTATATTATTATTGTAATATTCTTCTGTGTAAAGTGCATTGTGGCGGATCTTAGAGCAGACTATATACTCGGGTGTCATTGCTATTCGCATCCTACTTAATCTTCCTTCTTCTTTCCACTTCTCTTGTGCTAAGACCCTTCCTTTCTATGACAGATATTGATATCAATTTGGCTGTTTAACTTTTAAAGCTCTACACAATCTTGCTCACCAAACAATTTGTCAGTGTCTCACTAAAATAACTACACTAAAGTCAGGGGCTGTCTCTTATACACATCTAGATGTGTATAAGAGACAGCCTTTTGGACATCTCTGGATCCGCCCCTGTTCATTCCTCACACAGCCATTATCATCATCATCATCATCATTTTCAATCACCATCATTATCACTCTTATCATCATTATCATTAATCACCGTCATTATCATCATCATGTGCAAACATGCTACGTAAATTCAGGCGTCAAATGAAACAAGTAAATGTTTAATCATGACTAAATTCGTTTATTGTATTTTCATATACAACACAATTGGAAAAAAAAAGAACAAAACATTCTCGCCACTTCAACAATATTAAATCGAAGAAACTAACACCACAAAGTTTACAATTTAAAGATACCTGTGTTTTTTATTTTATATTTTTATTTTTATTTTTTTTAAATTAAATTTCCGTTTAATTCATGGAAGTTCAATATATTTTTTTCGTAATTATCTGCTTTTCCATCGTTCCTTTTGCAATTGTTTTATGTGATTAACGAAAATAAAAACTCCAAGGCACATATGTTACAGTAAACTTATTTCCTGTTTCATGCCGACTAAATTCTTGATTCATATACGGTACACTAAATTACTAAGATAGTATGGAATATTCAATCCGAAAGTTAAAACACTGGATGCAATAAGAATAAGATATCGAAAATACAAAATCATATTATTGTAGATTTGTTGGGCTTAAACAATATTAAATATTTCAAATCATATTTCATTTTATCGTGTATTGATTTGAAAAGCTAAAAACAAAATATTTTCTTTATTAATAGTAGCATATACAAAATTATGTTATTGCATATTTGTAATCATAGGCTGGTCCTAATAATGTTAAATACTTCTAAGTTTAATTTATAAAAACAATATAATGCTTGTTTTAAAAACCCTGATTTCAACGCTATTAAAGCAATTACTGTAAGCAGGGGGATGATCCAGGAAGCCACAAGTATCATGCACCTCACCCCCTCCCCATCATCCAAAAAAAAAATATCGATTTAAATTCGATGTATCACTGTGATAGTAAAACATTTCTAAACAAAAATATCTCAAACACAAGCAACCCCCATCCCCAGTGCTTTTCACTTCACGTGGCCCCTATCCAGATTTATCATGGATCCGTCCCTGGCTACCGACAGGTTTGAACAATAGATAGCATATATCCTTAAAGATACTGATCATGTAACACCAGTCTATTAGCATAGAGCATATCGTAATACTTCATATTTTCCGACGCCAGCCGGCGTGCCTCATCATCTGTTGCATCAAATTCAACAAAATCATCAGTTTTTTTCGATTGCCAAAATCCAGAGCTCGACAAAAGACTGGTATAGTAACCTAGACACCAACCAGCGAAACTCAGTGCATAGGAACAGTGCCAGTTTATACTCCATATATTTGTTGGCTTCCATTTTAGCATCGATTTTCTAAACGGTATTCCTGTCTTGTGGCAGTATAATTGCATCATTGCTTCTGGGTTTTTCGCAAAGTCATCGGCGTCAATGACAATGGGAGTCTGCTGAAGATTGTCTCTTGCGTGTGTATATAGATCCCAAAGGTGTTTAAACAGCAAGGTGTCTGGAAAGTGCGTTTCTATTCTATTTGAAAACCACCTCAGTAAAAACGAGTTCTTAATTACCCGTTTGATAGAGTTAAAGACAGAATTTGGATTGCGAATTAAAATGGTATGAGTAAATCCTTTCGGTAAGTATCTATAGTCTCCGTCAAGAGCGTATGCAAAATCTTTCCCGAAAACTACGTTCTTACCCGGGTAGTTTTTCTCGAGTTCATCCTTAACCCATTGATAGGAGAAGTACGGAGACAGTCGAATTGGAAAATGCGACGAGCATGAACCGAAGTGCTGAACTGCACAGTACATCTCATTGAAAACCTCAGCATCTTCTAAAGTGAGGATAGAACGTTCGATTGCTGTTGACATGCTTCTTGGTGCCGACCACATCATAACGCGGACTAGCTTGTTATTATTTGCCATGTTTGATGTATAATATCAGACTAATGATGATAGATGGATGATTATGAAGCAAATGAATACAGACTTGGAATGTGGTTAATTTAAAACAGTCTGTTTTAAAAATGCAGGCGGATTATAAGTAAACTCATTAGTGTAATGCAAATGCCTATACCGTGGCCTTCATTTGATACCAGACTGTAGGCCTATATACCTGTTTTAATAGTAGGGCTATCGTATTTTAAATAACCAAGTATGGTATCAAATGGTTAACAAAAGAGCTTCTATATTAAATTTTATTAAGTGTCCAGTCTGAAGAGCGATGATACAAGTAGGTGTAAACACACTAAAGTACGGTACGTTATTTTAAACTAGTATTTGAGAAATATTTTGACCATTTGATGTAAGAACTTTGTAATTTTTATCACATAGTGGATTGTATATTATTTGTTATCATAAACGAAACAATAATTGTAATGAAGACAACACAAAATAAATAACATAATAATAATAATAATAATAATTATTATTATTATTATTATTAATATTATTATTATTATTATTATTATTATTATTTTCATTTTTATTATTATTATTTTGATGATGATAATTATAATTATAATGGTGTTGGTGATGATGATTACGATGATGGTGGTGGTTGGGATTATAAAGATGATGGTGATGATAATGATGGTTGATGATGATATGGTGGGGATGCTAATGACGATGGGTAATGATGGTGAGGATAACTCCTTTAATTCTTCCTTAATGATAATCATTCCTCACATAGGCATCATCATTATCATTCTCGTCATCATCTTCAATCACCATCATTATCACTCTTATCATCATTATCATTAATCACCATCATTATCATCATCATGTACAAAAATGCTAAATTTAAGTGTCAAATGAAACAATTAAATGCTTAATCATGAATAAATTCTCTTATTGTATTTCCCAATACAACACAATTACAAAAAAGAACGAACAATTTTCGCCGCATCACAATATCAAAACGAAGAAACAAACATCCCAAAGCAAACTTTAAAAATTAATCGCAAAAGACAATTACAATTTTAAGATACCTGTGTTCTTTTGGTTTGTTTTTTTAATTGAATTTCTGTTTAATTCATATAAGTTCAATATATTTTTTTCGTAATTACCTGCTTTCCATCGTTCCTTTTGCAAATGTTTTATGTGATTAAAGAAAATAAGAATTCCAAGGCACATTTGTTACAGTAAATCTATAGCCAGTTTCATGCCGACTAAATTCTTGATTCATATACATTAAACTATTAAGATAGTAGGCCTATGTAATATTCAATACGAATAAGATATCGAAAATACAAAATCATGTTAGTGCAGATTTGTTGGTCTTATATAATATTAAATATTTCAAATCATATTTCATTTTATTGTGTATTAAATTAAAAAGCTAAAAACAAAATATTTTCTTAATTAATGGTAGCGTATCGAACATACAAAATTATGTTATTGCATATTTGCATTCATAGGCTAGGTCTTAATAATGTTAAATACTTCGAAGTTAGATTTATAAAAACAAAATAATGCTTGTTTTAAAAACTCTGATATCAACGCTATTTAAAGCATTTACTGTAATCAGGGGGAGGATCCAGGAAGCCATAGATATCATGCACCTCACCCCCTCCCCCATCATCCAAAAAAAAAAAAATCGATTTAAATTCGATGTATCAATGTGATAGTAAAATATTTCTAAACAAATATCTCAAACACAAGCAACCCCCATCCCCAGTGCTTTGCACTTCACATGGCCCCTATCCAGATTTCTCATGGATCCGTCCCTGGCTACCTACAGGTTCGAACAACAGATAGCATGTCTTCTTAAAGACATTGATCATGTAACACCAGTCTATTAGCATAGAGCATATCGTAATACTTCATATTTTTCGACGCCAGCCGGCGTGCCTCATCGTCTGTTGCATCAAGTTCAACAAAATCATCAGTTTTTTTCGATTGCCGAAATCCAGAGCTCGACAAAAGACTGGTATAATAACCTAGCCACCAACCAGCGAAACTCAGTGCATAGGAACAGTGCCAGTTTATACTCCATATATTTGTTGGCTTCCATTTTAGCATCGATTTTCTAAACGGTATTCCTGTCTTGTGGCAGTATAATTGCATCATTGCTTCTGGGTTTTTCGCAAAGTCATCGGCGTCAATGACAATGGGAGTCTGCTGAAGATTGTCTCTTGCGTGTGTATATAGATCCCAAAGGTGTTTAAACAGCAAGGTATCTGGAAAGTGCGTTTCTATTCTATTTGAAAACCACCTCAGAAAAAGCGACTTCTTAATTACACGTTTCATAGAGTTAAAGACAGAATTTGGATTGCGAATTAAAATGGTATGAGTAAATCCTTTCGGTAAGGATCTATAGTCTCCGTCAAGAGCGTATGCAAAATCTTTGCCGAAAACTACGTTCTTACCCGGGTAATTTTTCTCGAGTTCATCCTTGACCCATTGGTAGGAGAAGTACGGAGAGAGTCGAATTGGAAAATGTGACGAACACGGACCAAAGTGATGGACTGCACAGTACATCTCATTGAAAACCTCAGCGTCTTCTGAAGTGAGGATAGAACGTTCGATTGCCGTTGACATACATCTTGGTGCCGACCACATCATAACGCGGATTGGTTCCCTAGAATCAGCCATTTTATATTATACTAATGATATTTCAAAAGTTTGGAAAGGTCTAAAATTCAATTACAATTAATGATGCTGTTGGTGTTAAGGTTAGAATGTATACTACAAGAAATCTCACGCAGGCATTTATATGGGCCTAAATTAATCTGAGGTTTTATATTACGGAAATGGTGTTAAAAAACACCATTGTGCGTGTATGCTATCATTTTTCTGCTGCCCGTGACTATAATTTAGTAACTAACCACCCGTTAACAATGCTATACTATTGTAGACCATAAATACATCATCGTCGATCGTCATCATAATCATCATCGTGATCATGAATAAATCAATTAATCAATCATTTCTACTAAAAATAATAATTATGCTGTTTTCATTTATGATAATCTTAGAATACACCCCCACCACACTTTGTTTCTAAAGGCAAAATTTTACGGATCTGTAAATAGGCTGTCTCTTATACACATCTAGATGTGTATAAGAGACAGAGTAGACAGCACTATTCCTCAATTCATGATAAATAACAGAGATCAATATGACACGCCCTCTTCTTATCAGCAATTGACGATAAGACGAGATCTCCGAAGAGATACGGTACTTTTTATAAGTAAATACTGTAATGGGATTATTATATCTAAATCGTATTGTAGTAATGCTGTAAAAATATATATTTAAATGTTAAACATTAAAGAATAATCTGCGAGTGTAAAACAATGTGTGCCCTAATGGATTCGAACACGATACTTCCTCCTATCTATGCAGACGCCTCAAAAATAGGCCACTGAGGCTTTGTTGGAAAATCCAATCAGATAAGAGCACTAATTGTTCACACTCATGCGCATGCATATTAGACAGCACTAGTCCTTGATTTACGGCAAATAACAAAGATTAATACTAGAAATTGCAAATTGCAAGTGAAGTGCTGCGAAGTACAACTGCATATAAATGTTCTTCGAACAAAATCATTTATGCGAGTCAAGTGAAAATAATGAAATAATATGAGACACGACCCATTGTCTATATTAGAACACTTCTCATTGGGTAACAAAGTCGTAATTTTTCATTTTTGTCAAAAGTGTCTATAGTGGTGAATTATGGTTTAGGTTTTTTTTTTAATAAAGTTTCAAAAATTTCTATGTATGTGGAAAATGTAGTTGATTACCAAAGGTTACAATTTTTATTTTGAAGACTGCATGGTCTAGGAAGTGTACATTTTTTTATGGGGCAAGTTTGCAAGGGCGGGTTTCTAGGGGCGAGTTGACTGCCAAAGAGTGTTGCCAAAGTGCGAGCCATCGATCACAAGTGCGAGCCATGACGTCACGACAATAGATATGAGACGTTACTCGAGGTATCGGCTGAGATTTGTGGAGTACAATTCAAAAAACAACTACAGATCTAATAATGAATTACATTATTGTGATGTTAAATAAACAATGTTAGCTATCAAGGAGCGACGTTGTTTTTCATTGGGATCTTCGTCCCTTCAAGGCTAGGCCTATCATCCTAGCTAGTCTAGGCCTAGAGTAGGATAAGGCTAGCGCGACATGCGGACGTTGGTACGGGTTGGTTAGTCTACAAACGTCGCCTAAAGTAATTGATTTTAACCGGCAGAAAGAAAGAAGGAAACTCTGCTTTTCAGTCGTCTTAGGCCCTTGTTTTTTGACAAACTATTACCTTTCAGAGGTCAAATTGCTGTCAAGAATATGAATTGGCTGCTTCGCAGCAATGATACGCCCTCTCCTTATCAGCAATAGACGACTAGACGAGATCGCCAAAGGGATGCTTTTTATAAGTAAATAATGATATAACAGAGATAAACACTAAACCCTGTTTCAATAATACTGTAAAAATTTAAATAAATTATATATTATATATATATATATTATATATTGTATATATATATACATTATTTGCATATATATGCAACAGAATACAAGTACTACAATCAATTAATTAGAAAGTCATTTGTTGTTCTTTCCCTGAAAAACCATTTATTGACATACTTAATTTCAATTTTTGATGTTCATCATTGTTATTTTCATAAATATACAGATGTTTTAGATAATAACCAGTACTGATTATAACCATTAAAGATGTGCTGTCCCTTGCTAAAAACAAAATAACAAAAAAATCATAAAAATCATTTTTGAAATTTACTTGCCCATTTTGAAGTAACATAAAAATTATCAACTTGAACATAGAAATTAGTGTATTTAAAAAATGCTTACACATAAAAACCATCATTTTACAGCAAAAAAATGATATAAACACTTCCAGTCACTGGAAGAGTTTTATTATCTTTACTATAATTATCAAGTTAAAAAAAATCAGGGAACACATTTTTTTAATTTAATAATTTCTATGCTCAAGTTAATAATTTGTACTGTATGTTACTACAAAATGAGCAAAAGTTAATTTAAAAATTATTTTTTATGATTTTAGTCATTTTCAAGGGACAGTACATCTTTAAAAACGTCAAATGAAATTATAATAACAAAGAGTTAATGCTTCTCACTACACAATACAGTACATTATACTAATAGAAACGACAAGATAATGCCGTGGAATAGTATAACCAAACCCAACGATGAACAATATAATTGTTTATATAAAGGGAACCAATGGCAACTTGTAAACATAGCAAAATATATTTTTATTTGCATTCAAATAATCAACTTTTAGTATTTATGTTAGCCTACTACATATATAGTATTATGTCAAATACATTGTGCATTATTTAAACAAAAACAAATGTTTTTAATTAAAAATTACAAGGCCTAATTTATATATTTTAAGAAAGATATGGAATAGATTTCAGATGATTGATTTGTTGAAAGAACTAGAGACCACTTGCCGACATAGGCTCCGATTTGCCATTTGTATTAGTAAGGCAAATACGTGTGCATATAAAAGTTCTGATAAAACTAATATACATACATATATGTGGCAAAGACAAGCCAAACCGGTCACCCGTCGCAAAAATCGATTTTGAGTTATTAATAGTGTTAGATAGTAAAATAATAGCTATAAAATGGTAAAAAAATCATTCAAATTGGACATTTCCTTATGAAGTTACAAGCGTTTAACCACACAGCTGTTTAAAGAACAATATATGAGAAATTATTCATGATTTCAGGCATTTCTCATGCAGAAACTATCTTTAAATCCTTAAAACGTATTGTTTTAACATTGAAAATGAGGAATATAACAGCATAGAATGATGTGCAGATTTATAAAGGTTAGTTTAGTACAATAAAATAGATTTATAAAAATTTGACATTCCAGCATGTTTTAGCCATTTTCTCTGAAACATGATTTGCGACGAGTGACTGGTTTGGCTTGTCTTTGCCACATATATGTACATATACATATATATATATATATATATATATATATATAGATTTTTTTTAAATTAGTAGACAGCTAGAGGTTCTTAGATGGCATATGAAAAGAAGTTGAGCTTGAACTTTTATCAGAGTAGCCTACTACAAGTATACTACAAGGTAATGTGTACACAAGAAGCATACAAAAACACACACACACGCCCACACAAAGACAAGTGTGACCATTTTTTTTCATGGTAAACGAAGGGGGGATGGCTAGCCACCCACCCTATTCACCTACTCCCTAGATTCATCACTGCGTTTGGACCTTCAATATAATTCAATCTACAAACTTTGCCCATGTTATAATACAGTTGAGATCCCCTTTTTTATTTAATAAATATCAATACAACAGTAGCCAATTCAACCTAATTATGGTGATAGTTTACGGTACTGTACAATTGCAGTTTAAAAAAATCAAGACAGATTTTCAAAAAATAAATAATTGATTGGAAATGTAGTGAGAGTAGTGTGCTTGCACAAGAATAATCCTATATTGATCGCCATACATTGAAACATATTTACACAGAATAGATTCCTTTGTTTATTGGAGTCTATATGTACCAACAGTATATTGGACTGGAAGAAGTCTGATATGTAAACAAAATGTATACAGAAGTTGACTAGAAGTTCAAAATTGAATGAAAGACAGGGTGTGTACACCAACTCTTAATAAAAAGTGGAGTGGAAGCTATTCACTTAAGCAACACACATTTGCATAATCAAGTACACTATTCGAACACACTAAATAAAAAAATAACCTTCTGAAAGTATTTGCATACAAATTTGTTGGAGAATTCAGTCACAATATCAGCACCAAATGAAACTATGAGTTGGATCTAGTGTGAAACATTTTCTCTAAATTCATTTTGCATTCAAATGTATTTATTCATACTAAAGCTATGACCACACTATCAAATTTTCTTTGACAAAAACCTGTAGTATGTCCATATATAGTCATGATGTGGCTATATATGGTCATGATGTGATGTCATCATGACCATATTCAGGCATGTCGCATGTTTTTGTCAAATGAAATTTGATAGTCTGGACAGGACTTAATGTATTGTCACCAAGCAATTAATGGACATCACAACAACCCACTGATATTAAAAGGACACAATATAAAATTTTAAATCATAATATATGAAATTCTATAAACAAACTGTACATCAATGCAGCATGGCTTTAAAGCCATTTTGCACAACATTATATAAACAAGGAGAATGTTATCAAATATTCACACCTTATTGTGTTAATATTAAAATAGTTTGTACAATATCACATTCAACATTGATTGATACTATTTTATTTACATATTGTTCGATTTACACTTCTGTATGTGTTTTTTTACAAATACACATTATTAATTATAATATTTACAAAAATCTTCAATAACATAATATTTCTAAAAATTAAAATGACTGATTTCTGGAAAAAAATGAATTTCAACATATGAACTGTAATCATTGATATTTCACTTCTGGATTTGTATAAATTTTATTTAATTTCTTTCTCATGAAATCTTGCTCAGTAAACTCTAAAACTTAAAAGCCAAGTTTTCACTGGATTAATTTTATCCAAGACGAAGGGTAACTCTATCCAAATCGTACTGCCTCAAATAAGCAGTTGCTTTTTATGGAGACTGTAGCTAAATATTATTATTATTATTCAGCATACACACAAAATTTCAGTACAAATGAGCAACCCACATTTGAAGATAGACTGGTCCAAATTTAACTTTTGAGCACACAGTATGCAAAAGAGGATTATCCATTAATATGGTACGCACACAACTTGCTCAGTTGAACTTGCTACTCTGTTAAACCTAAAAGCCTGAATAGGGCTTAAGTCTAATCATGACTATATCACAAGGAATCTAAAATTTGTTTGAGACTTGAGGTAATAATCTTGGTACAGTATTGGAATGCGAAGACCGTAACCATTAGGGTACAGCTCAACTTTGGAATTGACATTTATTATTGAATAAACCTGTTAGGTGAGACTTATACATTTTTCATACCTTGCTTTACAACCTAATGCCGCTATATAATTTCAAATACGAATTAAATTTTAGTTTTTGACTGGTAGCACACTATGAAAAAAAATTATGCCTGCCGCTAAGGAATCTCCTAGTACAAATTTTCTTGTTATGAATAAATATAAAGTATTTAAAAATCCAAATACATTGGAACATCACATTCTTTACAAAATATGATCTCCGGCATATGTATAATAATCCATTATTTTTTTTTACCTAACACACTCATTACTTGAATCATTAAAAAAAAACCTTTTTAGTTTCCCCTCTGCTGGTTGGTTTTTAGACCATTTTGCTGAATGAGGAAACAAGCACTTCCCACCACACATTAAAATGCTAGTAAATTATTGAATCAAATTGCAGATAAACTTTTAAAGACAGCCCCCCCCCACCCCAAATTGACCATTTAGATTCTGACAAGTGACATTGCAGACATTTGAAATTTTCATTGGAAAGGAATCTTTACGATTCATTGATAAAATAGAATCAGTGCAACTGTGTAATAGCTATATTTTCACAAGCCTCATATTCATGCTAGAATACAAATAATGCTATTATTGAATCAAATTGCAGATAAACTTTTAAAGACAGCCCCCCCCCACCCCAAATTGACCATTTAGATTCTGACAAGTGACATTGCAGACATTTGAAATTTTCATTGGAAAGGAATCTTTACGATTCATTGATAAAATAGAATCAGTGCAACTGTGTAATAGCTATATTTTCACAAGCCTCATATTCATGCTAGAATACAAATAATGCTATTACAACATTCTTAGAATATTGAATGTTCAACGGAATAAATGATTGATATATAAATAATAATATTTTCTGTTAGTCCTTTTTATATATTTATATACTAATCATATTTAGTTGTCTATTCATTATATCGACTACTGTATATAATACTGGGGTTGGAAGCTCAAGTTTTAACATATCACAAACCACTTGCTCTCCTCAATATTCTCATTTAAGAAAAGAAGTGAAAATTGGAGTTCCACAGGGCATGAAACAACTGAAATGCATCTACATTTCAATTATATTTTAAATATTCAGCCTCATTTAACATTCTTCATATGTTTACAAAAAGTAAACCCTATAAACCTCATGGTTCCTAATTATTCCTAATTGTCAGCCTCACTTAACATACATATTCTATCAACATTGATTGTATTTCACTTCAAAAACAAACTGAATGGAAAAGATCATAAGATTTCAGTTGCTGACTTTCGCCAATAATACAATTTATAGAGGGTGCTATACAATTTTACAAACCAAAAAAAAATTTAAACAAATAATAGATATCATGACGACCTGAGTTTCTCAGAGTACAACTGTTTTGGTTTAAAAAAAACATAACTGCATCCGGAGTACTCACTATCTATGTCAATTTGGTCAGTACCGCATTTGACTTGGTCTCAACTCATTTTTTCATAACCATGAAGATGAGTCCATACTGTTTCTTCTGATACGTGATCGTTTGTTGAGTTTCTTTATGCGTAATACAGTTCCTGACACAGACATTGCACTTGAATTCAACTTGTGACTTACATCTTCAAATTTTTTCTTCAGAATAAATGTTGGCGACTCAACCGATCTACTCATGGCATAGAAAACATTTCCTTTATCGGGTATAACAAGCTCTGAAATGATTTTATAAATGAAATTTTATAAATATTTTTAAAATGTATTTGATGGTTATTTCATTTACATAGCTCAAGACAATTGATTAGATAAAGGAGACAGCAGTGGCAATGACGATAAGAAGACAATGATGATGACGAGGGTGATGGAGATTATGTTATTATTGATGATTTTCAGATGATGATAGTCAATGTTAATATTATGGTGATAATCACAATATGAAAAGATGGAGATAATAGTGATGATGATGCTTGGTTGTGGTTTTTGCTGATGCTCATGTAATTAATGTTAATAAAGAAAATTATAATGATGGAAATGACGACGCCGACGACGATGATGATGATAGAAATGACGATGATGAAGATGAGGAGGATAATGATGATAAAATGAAAATGTAATGAAGATGATAATAGTTGTAGTGATAATGATGCTTCATTGTTGCTGTTTAAGTTTTTGTCGATGCTATGACAACTCATATACCTACTCAACTCACACAAACTTATAATTATATATTATTCAAGTTTTTTATATGATATACTCTTAAGTATACTGTATATAAAGAACAACAATTTACCATGTACCAAAAACTTATTTTGTATGTAAACAATGTTTATTTAAAATGTATTGACAGTCATATGAAAATAAATTTAAATAAGAACATAATTAAACATTAATAAACATACCTCCACTTGGAAGACACTGTACTAATGAATACAACGAGACCTCGTTCTCCTTGACGGTTAAATTGTGCTTGATGAGGGCATTGCGTATGACTATTTCCGTACGATCATCATGTGACACCTGTTACAATAAAAAACATGAATATCAAATTAATGTCAGTAGCATTCAGTCAATAAGTGCTAGGTCTTCTAAAGCATGCGCAATTTACCATAATAAAGGGTCCTTTTTTCAAAAGGGGGTTTGGAATTGAGCTATCCTCCATTGCAGAATGACATTTTTGCAGAAAGTTTGGGCAACATATAAACAAAATGTCTTAAACCTAATTTCACAATTGAAACTATCAGAAGCCCAGCCATTTTACATTACTTAAATTTATTAACATCTTTCCAATTGGTCATTCTAGTTTTTTAAATTTATACTTCAATTGACATTTTTCCTAATAGAGATGACAAAAATTATATCAAAAAATTTTTAGCTCCAGCAAGGGGACAATATGACAATCCCAAAATGATAACAGTTATCATTTCTCTGTGTATTAATTTGGGGTGTTTGAAGGAGAGTCACAGGAAAGTGTATACTTTGTACTGTCTAATATTTGTAAAAGAAAAAGTAAACCTCAATTCTCATTTTGAAAGTGTCATTTCTTGTGGTGATTAAAAAGTAGTATAAAATATAATAAAATACAAGTAATACCCAGATAATTACATCATTAATTATCTTCATTAATGGATTTACTTACTAATAAACTTTTATATACATTTCCCTCTATACAATTGTTGTGTAAGCATTTGACACGGATGATACAGCAGGTCGACAAAGACTGCCACCTAGAGTCTGAGGGTTGGAAGACACTTGCATTTTCATCAGACCCTTCTAATACTGGCAGGGCTGAACATGACTTTGAATGGGACAGCTGAAACCAAAAATTAAAAGAAATTGTTTTTAGATAATTACATGGTTACATAAAAACATATACACTAATTCTTTTCCTCTACTCTTGAAAGATACCTTATGAACATATGAATGACAGCACTCTACTCAGTGCCGAAGATCTTATTAGTGCACTCACTGAATTACACACTGAATTTCTGTAATGTACATGGTGCTCAAATTACCTATACAAAAGTAGGCACACTGATATACATTAAAAGTATATTTTTGCTGAGGGTGCACTTCCACTGCATTATGCATACAAATAGACAAGTGTGCTATCTTGATATTTTGTATAACCTAACTGATGTAGGTTGATGACCTATGTGATGCAGTTTATCAAACTTGTTTTCATAACAGAAAGCTTGTAAAAGAATTTAAAGTATTGAAATTATCATTTTTTGCCAGTAAATATTATGTTAATAATGAATAATCCTTAAAAAAATTTTTAAATGCCAAATCCATTGAGATACCCTGCAGAATCCTAGCAAAGGGCAATGTGAGCCCAGCCAACACTGGAGAACAATTAATGTTTATTGGTCAATAAATCAATTACATACTTTCCGATGAGCAGCTGGCACGTTTCCATTTCTCGCTGACTTTGTGCTGTCGCTTTTCTGTACCTTGGCCGCTGACAGTGGACCTGGGACGTCGATTGGCAAGCCGGTGATGTCGGTGCTGGAGATGCTCATAGCATCCTCGGAGGTGACTGTGCCTTGTGAGCTAAAACTGCTATTACTGGTAACACTGCTCCCGCTACTGTTACCATTGCTGTTTAGCCCATCATTATTGCTGAATAAACGCCTGCACAGAACAGCATTAGTGATCATGTTAATAAGAATCCCAAAGATAAATCTCAATAATAAAAAAATCAAAAGCATTTACTGTATATAAGACACAAGATTGCTAGCTATGTTAGATGGAGATGCCCAATCAAGTATTTGTATATGTTGAGGGGAAGGAGAACAGTGCTGTCATGATATGATTTGCTGAGCTGAGGGTATTTAAAACACATTTGATTCTCAAAGAATGTGGACAAGTAAATTTGGGTCAAGAAAATCTGGTGGCCAAAAAAATTGATCTAATGCACAGTAATACAAATACAGTATTTGGCAATGTATTACTTAGCTCTATAAAATTAAAATAACATTTTTTTTAATAAAGAATTTCACCAAGTACAAGTGTGGAAAGTCACTCAAAGCATGTTACAAATGGACGAAAAAATAAATAAAAACAAATAAGGCCTAAAAAAAATTGTTTGTTTGCCATCCAGCGCCCGCTCCCTAGCTCACGGAAAAATAGGGGCGGCATTTTTAAAATAAGTCTATTTTTTTTTCGATTTTTTGTTCACAAATTTCAAAAAGTGATCTTTTGTCCCTTTTGCACATGAAAGTTGTCAAAATTTTGTGTCTGATGTAAGGTATCACCACTCTAGGTTTAAATTCATTGCAAAATATTGATTATGGGTTATTTTTATTCAGTCTGATGAATACTTTGAAAAACAAATAGTGAAACAGGCTTAATTGCAAGCATTGCGATTTAATATGTTAACTTTTTCGCGCCCGCCCCTCCTATACAATTTTCAGCATTAAAGGGCAAACAAACAATTAATTTTTATTTTAGGCCTAATAAAGTGAGGGAAACAGAATCATTGAATTGAAGTAGTCTTACATGAAAGTTCTTGAAGCTCTCTTTGCTAGTCTCATTTCCTTCTTGACAGGGGTTGATGTGATAAGTCCATCACTTGAGTTTCTCATCGGTGGCTCCATTTCATTTGAGATCTTGCAGCTGTACATTATAACAATAACTTTTCATTAATATTTATCTCTAAATTACTTTAAAAAAAGGGGTAACATATATGCAAAAAAAGTATGAATATATATATTATATGTACTTTAATGATCTGCCTTTATCTGATTTGTTCCCAAGAAATCCGGTCAAAGTTGCAAGTAAACGCTGGAGAAAATCATTATTTAAGTTCTCAGGCCAAAAAATTATCAAGTTTGATATTTTGACTGTATTATATATACTATCTATCATCTGAAAAATATTTCAGCAACATCTACAACTACAAGTTTAGTTCTGTTGTATGCGCATTCAACTGTACACTACGTGTGCAGTAATGCACAAACTGTGCAAGTTGTTGTGGTATAGTAATACAGAAAATTCAAATTCAATTATTGATTAAAGGAAACAAAAACACCCAATTTATCTAAAGCTACTTATTAACAGAATATAATATTTTAAAATAACTTTTTGAATATTTTGCCACGTTGTCCAGGTTTTGTGGGAACATGTCACATATGCGTGTCTGAAATAGATTGGCTTTCGTCAGTGTGATACACATCAAGGATAACCCACGAAAATCCTGAGACATATTTCCAATGGATCCTTCTGGTGGTGAATTTAGCAGTACACTGAGACACAATCCCCTGGGCCATTTTGCACGAGGGACCAACAGCTTAAACGTCTTATCTGAAAGACGGGTGCCCTTCTGACACTTGCATTTCAGCACTCCAGCTGACACAAGAGAACAAGTGATGGAAATTGAAGCAGGGACCAAGAGATCTTTAAGGTTCAGCGCACACAAAGTGGCTACTGCCAGGTTAGCCGATGGAGCTAGATGCTCATGTACACCTGTCAATCTATCTGCCTGACACTTCATCAAATTAACAGACGGCAAACTAAAAGTATTCTTACCATTCTTCATAGTTTCTTCCTCGTTGCCTTTTGAACCAGTCTATGAATCCTTTATCCTCTTGTAGGTTGTAGCTTTTAGCTGCAGTCTGCAAGAGTTTGATCTGGGCAAGAACTTCAAATTCCTGACAAAAAATAATAAATATAGTATCAGCTAATTCAATAATGAAGAATATAATAACAGAATATTTGTAGCTGTAATCAGTACAAAAAAAGTTTTATATGTTACATTTTCCTTTAAACAGACTGTCTACAAAAAATATTATACAAGATAATTACACCTTCCACCATGGTAGTTAACATTATTTGTTTTTGTTTTTTTTAACCATATTTATAGAGGATAACCATTCCAACATTGCCTAGAAGGTCGGTTGATATTCAGCGGCCCTCTCAAGTAAATGAAATACTGTAATGAGATGATTTATCAGTGAAGACTCTTTACGAATATGAGGCTTAGAAGTGGAGATTTTTTTTAGTTGTGAGAAAAAAATCCTGTGCTTTTACAGGATTTGGACCCAAGACCCTGGGATTGGAAGGCAAGCACCTTAACCATCATGCTACATCTCTACTAAAATTTGAGTTAAATAACTTAGAAAATATGTAAGTTATGTAAATAACATTCTTTTGCTCAAGATTTTACAATGGTTTTTCCACAGGAAATCACACAATTAGTCAATAATTCACTTCGCTGCTTGAACACTCATGCGTAAAAATTGACAAGAGAGTCCACCATCATGAGTATGTAGTAGATTAAGAATAATTAGTATAAATCCCTTTTATTACTGCATTGTGCAACATTTATTCTTTTCTTTTATATATAATGATTTTCATTCTACTTCACTTTATTTATTCCTGCAATCATACGTTTTATTAGTGGCACACAAAATAATTGTTCCATTATAACACAAGCAAGTAAAATTTTTTAATAAACTAACAAAATAATATAAAATGTACAACACAAACTTTCCCAAAGTATTATATTTTAAGTGTCAATTCCCTGTGGTTTGGGCAATTTACAGGCATCTGTCACATACAATCTGATAGTGTTGAAAGACAATGGACAATAGCAGGATTGTTTAATTTTTCCCCACCTACAGTATCAGCAGCAAGTTCTCACTTCCAATCATATAAATATTTCCCTGTTTGGACTGCAGATATTACTCTCCTGAAGATGATTATAGCAACTCAACTGAAACATCAAGACATTCTAAACAAACAACAGTTCTTTTCAGAATTATATCTGTGGACTACCACAAGCATTTAATATAACAGGATTGTTGCATCACATTTGCAAATGTGATGTAACAGGATTGTTACATCACATTTGCAAAACATATACATAGCACTATTAAATAGTTTTAACAGACCAAATTGTCAAAAATATTTACCTTTCGTTTCTTCTCAAAATTGATGAGTCCCCCTTCAACATAATCTGGGAAAGCAGTGTCAATCATTGTAAGATCCGTAAGGAAGTAACCCAGGTAAGGAACTGTGCCATACACGGGACCAATCTAACATTTACAAAAAAATGAGGAAAGAAAGGATGTTTATATTTTCAATGAGCATGACAGTATAATTACTGGCTCACCTTAATTAATAATAATAAAAATTTTTAAAAAACTGTCTCGTCACTGGCACTAGAAGATGTTAGAAAAATGTCAAGCTATTTGAAGAGGATTTATTGTAAGATCGTATTTGGTTAATTCAGGATCAGAGATTATACTATTCTAAAAAACCACTTCTTCAGTCCTGTGAGAATATCAAACTTGTTTTCAATAATGAGTTTTTATTTGAATGTTCTTTTCTAATTTCAGAATAATGTCAAATAAAATTTGTTCCTATTTGCAATTTATTCATATATATCGACTTTGCCAATTAAAGATGTCTCAAGGAAATTCTTTCAAATTTCAAATAAAAAATTATACATTATTCTTCTTTCCATCCAATTGAAAATTCTGCCAAAGGAATTAATTTTAAGCTCCTATATTTTATATGCTACACTATGCCATGCCATAGAGTCCATGATTATGCTTAAAGCTGGAGAAATATATAGGTATTGAACATCTTCATATCATATATGGTAACTGCTGTATTTTAGTTGTCAAACATATACCTCCACATTACAATGACACACAAAATCATTTAAATTTGTTGACATTCCAACCATTACATTAAAGTTAGTGCAGAAACTTGGTCACAAAATGTATAACATCAGATAGGTTATTACCACTGTCTTTTCTGCATTTTGCAGTTAGTAACAGGCCTTATGATATATAATGGAATCAAACATCCAGACCCTCTGCAAGAGCCCATGTTCCTATGCAGTCACTGGTAAAATAGTCCACTGTGCTAGGTGATTGTAATGGTGCATAGGACGGGGGCATCAAATCCATGAACAAATTTAAGATATAACAACTCTAGATGCCCAGAAAGAGAGCTCAAAATATACATTTTTTAATTTTCAATTCAGGTAGTGATGTTAGGAACTTTTTAATCTCCTCTCAATCTAACACAATAGTTTTTGCACTTTTAGTAGATTCCCTAGAGTCCAATTATCATTTGGGTTAGATTATTGGATGGGGGTAATAAATTTCAAGTGTATTGCTTAAATATTTATCCAATAATCTTTTAAAGCAATATCGTTCATGATGAATACTACATGTACGCAAAAATCCATAACCGACAGGAAGTTTGGAAGTTCAAGTTTGCATGCTTACAAACTTTCGACAAATTTGATAACGTCAGCATCACAGACGCATATGCATAGATAAATGCAAAAATTCCTATTGCTTCAAAGCATAGGAACCAATAATATATCAAATTTCTAAGCCTTACATGATCTTCATTTTGTTTCTTGTCTGAGAACTTCCTTATGAGGCTTTTCATGGACCTTGTTGAGCCACCTGACACCGGACTAGATGCTTGAGTGCTTGCAAACTTGGCAGTGCCTTCCTGTAATAATACACATAAATGTGAATATTTTCCATAGGAAAGATACAGTATTTACAAATTGCAGGTTCTTCTAAGCGGGGGAAGGGGTTTCTCTAGGCGTGAGGTCCAGGGTGGATTTTAATCTTATCTATCTTATCAATCAAAATTCGTATATATAACACTGGGCACTTTCATACTGCATATTTTTTGGTTTATGACAATAAAATAAAACCCTGAAACTGAATCTGCATAAAATAATGCGCTTTGGAGGATTGGATGAGTTGCATATTTCGAGATCCAGGTAAATACTGGACAGTGTTTACTTACCTTGTTCAGTAGCTCTCTGTGTGCTTCATGGTTGTTCTCGTCACAAAATATATCTGATAAATCCTCAAACAGCTGCATATTTGATCTAAAAAACAAAGCATACATCGATTTACTGAATACAATATATTTAACATATTAATATAATGAATACAGAATGCAGATTTGCATAGTTTAGTGATCATTTAACATTTGTCCTATAAAAGAAAAGACCCCCCATAAGAAATAATAGAATAGTCCAATTCAGTAAACAAACAATAGAAATGTTACCTTGGAAACTGTCTCTTCATTCATTGGTTTAGTTTATTGAAATTAGACTATTCAGTTATTTTTTAAGGAGAGGTAGCTTTAAAGTTGACTTATGTAAGTAGGTAACTGCTCATTGCTTCCATAAAAAAAAATATATAATAGAATTACTAAAACAAACAACAGGAAGAAGTAAGTAGGTTAACATACTTGGAGAGTTCAGCCCAAGTGTTCTTCAGCCTGTGTATAGGGTGTGATTGAAGTGCCGTTATTATCGCCTTCAACGATGAGAAATTCTTCAATGTGCGACAAAGCTAAATATAAAAATCAAAAGCAAAAATCAGAAGCTTTCCACTAGAAGTGATTCAGTTGAATATGTTTAACTTGTGAACTTCTCAGGAAAATGATGAAAGAAGTGACAGAACATAATTTATTTTGCAAGTTATAATTCTTAAAGTTTGACATGAAGTTGTGTTTCTTTTCTTTCTTTTTTTACACATTATACAGAGCTTACAAATAAAACAACCAGAGCCTTGCAGGCATCAACGTTCCTATGCATGATACATGACTTAAAAAGTATATAGGCCCTATATATATATACGTGTATATATATACACGTACATATACATACATATATACACCTATATATATACGTATATATATATACGTATACATGTATATATATATACGCACGCATGTACATATATACGCGTGTATATATATACACGTACATATACATACATATATACACCTATATATATACGTATATATATATATATATACGTATACATGTATATATATATATGTATATACGCACGCATGTACATATATACGCGTGTACATACATACGTGTGTGTATATATATACGCATGTATATTATACGTATATACATACGTATACATACACGTGTATATACATATACATACATATACGTATACATATACGTGTATATACACGTATATTATATTTTTGTTTTATTTTAGGCCTTCTTCAAAATACCTATGCCACAGCTGAGTTGATTTTTTTTTGCCGTAAAACCAAAATAGTTTCATGCATGCCGACTTGCCGATCGGTTAGCGTCAGCCCTGACTGAACTCTGCAGAAAATCCACATCGAACTTCGCATCGCGATGTAAAACAAAATGTCGGAAAACTTTGCATGCGCATTTGCATAAATGTCTACACATATACGCACACACATACTACACACAATAAAAAACAAAAGAAATGTGACAGAGTGATTACAATAGTTCCTATTGCATTACATGCATAGGAACTAAAAATTATGTTATTCTTATTCATTCATTACTATGATATTTATTTCTTTTTTTAGACTGGGACAGTGAAACCTACGAAATCAATTTTGTACAATTTCCATTTCTCTGCACTCATTCATCCATTAGGAATCATTAGATTACACGACAACAGCAACACATAGAATGAATGACGTCAGTAAAAGTTATCTGCACATGCGAAAACGTTAAGTTCTCCTCGTCGTGTGGATTCTAGGACGCAATTTGGCCAAATCTATGCATGCAGAGAACGTAGGACGCCCGGCAGGGCAGTCACGCTCAAGTGATTTTGTTCTATATAATCGAAAACTCCCTACTTATTCATTCTTTACACACAATCACATACATGCCTTACATATACTCAAAGTGTGGCAAACATTTTTCCGGAATTTCAGTAATTCTGCCGCAGACATTTAAAAACATGACAATAAAATTTACAAAATTTCTGTGGCAAAGTTACGAAAGGTCCAGGTTATGAAATTTTGACAACCCATACTCAAATACTCACTCACATTATAGTACAGTACTTTTATTAACTCAACATTCTTACAGACACACATACTCAGCAAATGGTTTAATTACCAAACACACTCATTCACTGACACTTAAGCAACTCTCTCACTATCACGACCTACTGTATATGCACTGCGATCAGTATATGACCGACACCGACCAGTGTGAGAGCTGCTATGAGCAACTTGATCGGGTAGAAGAGAGGGTCATCGATGGTTTGCGGAGTTTTCAAAATGTTGCAAAAATTTAGTGGTCGGTACTGGTCGCCAGGTCCTACTTCCGGTCAGATACGACTGTAGGTCGGTACAGTCGCATTGTAAGGTCACGATAATGTGAGATAGGCTTTAGTCAATCCTTTCCTCATTTACTCCCTACTCTTTGGGTCTCTTGTTCACTCCATCATCTGACAAACATTGACCATTTAGGTGTCTCGTTTGAGATTCCTTCCCGGGGTGGTTTGGGGGTGGGCCTGTGGGGGCCGCCAGCTCCTGCGCGTCCCGCTCATCCTGTCCCGGTTGTGAGTCTCCACAAATTGTAAAAATGTATGACAAAATTATTTTTGACTTACTTGTGCAATATCAATCCACTTTGCAATGACTTGTGCTCGAGCAGCATTCTTAGTGATCTTCTTGTCCAAGATGGTGGACATGACCTTGTACAGAACACCATTGAACTGGTCAACAGTTGCTTTGGCAGTCGGGGCTTGACTTCCAGACTTTTTGTCTCTCCTAGCCCACACAGATCCCAGGCAATGCTGAGGGTTGAGTCGACGGAAAAGATCCTGCAAAATAAACATCGAACAATTTACAGATTTTTGTGGTAAGTAAACATGATTTTTAATGTTATTATTTGAATGATAAAAGTCGTTTTTGGATTCCTTCTCTCATTTCAGTCAGTGTTGGATGGCATCACTGAGTTGATTCTAATGAGTGCTCTCTTGTCTAATATTTCCTCTGAAATTCTAATCATACACAAGAACTCTGCTACAGCTAAGGTATCTATGCAGCCAAGATCAATGTGAATTCCAATACTGTACCAGTTCTGTAATTATCGGTGTAAGTAAAGCTGACCCTGTGTACACCAGCCAATTAACTTTGAGGTTTCTACACAGAATCTCAATTTTTCCAGCAAATGTGTCTGATGCAATGGCGGATCCAGGATTTTGAAATAGAGGGATCACAGGGAAGGACTTTCACACATGGAGACCACCTCATATCTACCATGGTTGGGGTTGAGGTGAAATATTTATGGCACTTCTAGATGATCGGAAATAACACTCTCAAACCTAAATCTGATTAAGACTTTACTTCTTTTCTCATTTTTTTTTTACAATTTTGGGGGAAGGGACCTGGGCCGGTTCGCCACCTACCCCTCCCCCCACCTTGAATCTGCCACTCTCATGGACATATAATCGGAACTAGACATTTCCGATTGAATAGTATTTTTCAGTTTCAAAGGTATGATATAAATATTTATCAAAACTGAAATTGCAAAACTAGAAAACGAAGTCATGAATATCGCAATGCTAAGTTACATTATTTTCCAAATTAGAAACATAATGCAGAGGTTCAAGTTTACAGCCTCGTAAAAGTAACCACACACACAAATGCACATGCCTACATATGTGGGGATTGCAATGACTTATGATAAAAGTAACCACACACACAAATGCACATGCCTACATATGTGGGGATTGCAATGACTTATGAACATGAAAAGGGATGACTCATGTTGCCAAAATTCTTTAAGGAGAATTGCTGATACACAATTTGCTGTCTACAATACAGGCAAAAGCCTACACTGTACCTTCCCACAGAATAGTACATTCCAGGTTACTTTGACCTACTGCATCACATCCCTCTGAGAATGATTACATATTGGTGATCAAAATGTCATACCTGTATTACACAATCTATGTTTTTCTAATTGGTTCATTAGAACAAAATTAACCAAAATTATACAATAGATCCTGACAAATATGCAGCATATTTCACATCTGATGCTGGCAATTATGTCAAAATTGTATTTTAATGGATAAGAAAAATCTCCAGTAATTATCAAAGTAGAAATATTGTCATAGCATATTTAATGACCAAAACATTGTTAGAATAATTTCCATACGCTTTACCATGTAAAATTCATCATAAACACATCTTTATTCATTATAACATTGTTTCATACTTTTTATGCATATAAAAATAAACAACATTATGCATGTATGTATTACTGTAAATACAAATATGGTTCTTTCAACAAAAAAATTCACTTAGGCCCACAAGGACGCGGTGGTAGTGCAGCACTTCCTTTGTCAGTACACCGAGAGACAGGTTTTTTGGTCTGCGCAAGGCAGACCCTAAAACCTCACTGCTGTTCTTGTTGGGTACTCGCAAGGGGGGCCCCAAAACCTTGTTAATACCAAATTTTAAAGTGTCCAGCATCACTAGTTTTGAACGGACAGAAATTTTGTACATATAAACCAGAGGTTATTGTAAACAAACATTCATGGCCTTTTTTTAAGTTTGACAAAACAAAACACAGGTTTCAGCAAGAACTGTACATTATTGCCATTACCACTAACAGGGATGTCACAAGGATGGTGGGTCGTTTAAAGATGTGTTCTAAAGAACCAAAAGTCGTGAGTTCAAATCGCATCTTGATATTAAATTTTTTTTTTTCAATTTTATTTTTAAGATTAAAAAAAAATTTTTTTTTATTATGAACCCTTGCCGAAAACCCAATATAATAACCTATGCCACTGCGTATACTATTTAAGCATGGAGGATATTAATCCATGATTTAAGCATGTTTTCAGGGTCAACAAAAAGCCTCAACTGAAAGGAGCACACACTATTAGCATTAGGCGCTGAATAGAGGTAACCTCAGTTTAATGCACGTTCCAGTGAGTGGTCGCTCTTGTTTTTGTGAGCATGTATGATCGTTATTATAATCAAAAGCATAACGAAATGGACGATATAATCACAGCAAACCATCTTACATAAGAATGCAAAAATAATAATGACCTTTGTAAACATTTCAAACTTGGTCTCTCTTGCACAAGAAATTCCAATTCCTATCACAGCACTGCCACTCCATAATAATGGCTTTACCTGTATTTACTTATAATTACTGTATATATTTTACAATTACAAAATGATTTATAATTTATAGTTTATTACATCAGTTCCTTATTGAAATATAAAATATGAAATAAAATCTTAATTAGTATTATTCTAATTTCTTCCAATCTATTATTCTAATTATTTAACAAGACTCATTTTGTAAGGGCACAAAGCAAACAAGATGTCCACGAAGCATTGGATTTCAAAAAATAATTGCAACTACAGTAGTGATATATCTCATGCCAATTAGAATTGTTTGCATATTAGACAGGCTCATAGCTTGTTAAATTAGAACGTCTGGGTGACGAACTACCTTTAATGGTATATTTACAGGTCTCTGTCTAGGCTTGATTTATTCACAAATATATTCCAGCTCAAAACACCATCCATCATGGCTGAAGAGAATAAACTTATGAACTCTGTTCCACAGTGGATTCTGATTGATAAGACTCAGAGAAACATCAACTTATTATGATGACTTTAAAATTGACTAGACTTGGATATGAGGACTGTACACAGGCAAACTTGACTCAGACTAAGAGCGAAAATTTTATGGTTCTCTGGTTTAATCAGCTGAAAGGTTGAAATAAAAGTATTACTGTGTAACTACACATCATTTTTTAAATGAGCAATTGATCCTGTGTGCATGGACTGTTTACATCTGATTTCATATCCCATAATCTTCTTCAGTTCGCCTGTTCTACGAAGCATGACTGACCATACTGTAATGGTATATATAATAGTAAATATGGTATATAACGGGAAAAGTTAAATTTATCCATTTAGTTACGTCTGAGGATGATATTGTTTTCAGGCCATAATGGAGTGTCAATAGCATTTAACAACTGACCAATCAGCACAGGGCATGAATACGAGTTTTTCACACCAGCATACATGTTGTCCCACATACACATGCGTTTATATGTACACTTAAAAGCGGTCGTTTTGCGAGATCTTAGCAAATAACAACCAAGGGTCTAGGTTTAGCAGAAATCTATTCAGAAATTATGAATTAACTAGTCTGCACCAGATCCATAAACTGAATATCTAGGGCCTAAACACTAATAGAATTGGAATATAATTGCACCGCTGCTACTGTAAATGTTCACAACGTTAGAGAGAAGAACGCAAATGCAATTAACACCAGTGCACATGCACCATTAGATTTTAGTAGCTTTATACTATCAAAAGAATCCATGCTCACAAAATAATCATTAAACACAACATACATTTAGCTTATTTTAGATGCCCATGCACAAAAAGAATTGTTGAAAGAACACTAATTTGGCAGAAACCATGATGGATATGTTTAGTTAACTGATCAGAAGGTTTTAATAAATTTAACAAAGGACCACAGATACTTAAGTTATATAAACATATTTTTCTTTGCATGGGTTCCCTATTTAAATTCTGAGCCATCTACATTACAGTATGCACTCGATATAAAAAATGAAAAACCACATAATAGCCTGGATAAGGGATTCATTCAAGTCGAAGGAACAGCCTTCTTGTCTTCTCTTAAGCCACTTTCAGAGACGGGCTGGAAAATATTGCAGTTATGTTGTCAGTATACGGGCATGCACCCTTTTATACCAAACAAATGTTGAAGTAATATTGCCTTAATATAATGCCTTTCTGTATAAATGGATTGCATACTCCGGCAAGCCATTGTAAATTGTATAAACAAAATGCAAGTATGTTTGTAACAATTATGCTAGGACTAGATTTATGACATCACCGGCCTACCGGTAAAATAGATCTGTATGAAAGTAGCTTTACAGTAACTACTGTAATAGCAAAGATATCAAGAAAGTATAATACATACTCCAAGTATTGAAATACACGCCATCGTGTTGGGATTCAATATTTCGACATTAATTATGTCATCATCAGGAATGAAAAAATTATCCATATTAGCAAGCTTATATGCACGTTGAGCATAAAATGCAATTGTCAAAAAAAAAACTAATGTTGACTTTGTGTACAATAAATTAATATAGAACCTGCTGATTCTGTATGTACGATGACATGACCTAAGAATAATAAGAAGTCAGAGTTGGTTTTGTATAGTTCTTCCTGACTGTTCTATAAATAATGATGGAATATTCAGTCAGCAAATTTGTTTTTCTAGTGGCGTAGTCTGAGTGTTTGTGTGATATTTTATTGTATGGACACAAAAAAAGTGATAGATAACTTTCATTTTCTTTACACTATATTTTATCTGTCTCTTATACACATCTAGATGTGTATAAGAGACAGCTGTCATGTGATCATAGTGAGGTTGTAAACAAAGTGAATGATGCAACAGCCTATAGAAAAGTATAGCTAGCGCATGTTTCAGCAAAACTGGAAATGTTCCCAAGTTCCATTTCTAAACAGAATTATTTGCTAATGTTCCTGAAAATCCTGATAATTTTCTATCAGAGGATGCCTATGTAAACCAAAAACGTTGTGCGCACACGACATGAATTTTTCTTGGCAAAATCATTACTGATTGAGGTTTCAGGCCTAGAAAAAACAAGTCTGGAAAAAAAAGTAACATCATAAATGGTAGATGCTCACTGCAAAACAAGTTACCATTCCAAGCTTAACATTTGCAAACCTAGAAATATAGCAAGGTGATAGATATTTATGTAATAAAATATAGTGTAAAGAAAATGAAAGTTATCTATCACTTTTTTTGTGTCCATACAATAAAATATCACACAAACACTCAGACTACGCCACTAGAAAAACAAATTTGCTGACTGAATATTCCATCATTATTTATAGAACAGTCAGGAAGAACTATACAGAACCAACTCTGACTTCATATTATTCTTAGGTCATGTCATCGTACATACAGAATCAGCAGGTTCTATATTAATTTATTGTACACAAAGTCAACATTAGTTTTTTTTTTGACAATTGCATTTTATGCTCAACGTGTTCTTTGCTGATGATTTTTCAAAAACATTCCATAAAGGTTTTATAATGCAATCATCACAAAAATGTTACTGTCAATGTCAAGAATTAAATGTACAGTAAATCTTTGGAACTCATTTTCAAGAAGTTGTCAACATTTTCCAAATTGTTATCTTTTCTAATATTATCAAAATTAGGGTATTTCAGTGGTTGTATCTGGCAACTGTTAGCAGGACATAACACTTCTCTTTGGAGTGAATAATGAGAAACAAAATCACTAATTTATTTTTTATGAAGTTTTAATGTATTGTGTATTGCCCATTGATTTTGTTCTCAATGTTAATTCTTAGTTTAAAATATTTCTTTGTATGTTATCTTGTGAACCCACCAATCTTTTTTGAGTACTACCAATTTAAAGGTGTTATTTTCAAATAAAATATGATCGCTATCTATATTATGCTTCCTGGAAGCTCAGCGAGGTCAGTGTAAAATAAAGCGGGTACTCTTAACCTTCTTATCTTGGTGTCAATTTTCTTGTCAACATGTCAAATATCCTACTCAGTTATATAATACTTCTACTATATTTTATGAGGAAATAATACTTCCAATCTGGATAAACTATTAAAAATTTCAAAGGATCGGCAGTGAGAACTTTCTAGGCATTCAGTATTGCTACAGAATATTTCCTGCAAACTTAACTGTCTAATATATTTAACTTATGCTTCTTCATCTTGCAAAAGTATATTTCTGCAGGTGTTTAAATATTTTCTCCAAACCTTGGTTTTTTTTTTTCTGGTAACACCAAAATCAGTGCATATACACTATGTACTTAAGCTAAGAAGTGCCTAGAAAGTTTCATTTCAATATTTCTTTCCATAAATCCAAGCAATCTTCAGATTACTATTTCAATACTGCCAATTCAGCCAAACTATCTTAGATTCTATATTTGGGGTGGTGGTGGGGGAGAAAGATTATGTGTGTTTGTCAGTGGGTTGGTGGACCTGTGACTTGGGCACTAAAGATACTCGCATTTAAATTGCACAGTCCACAGAACTGTGCCAGAAAGGTGCCCGGCTCGATCGAAGGTCAGATTGGACTTTGTTGGGATTGTGAACAACCTGCGTAACATTTTTAACTGAACAAACATTGCCATCAAAGAATAACTAGGCTGTATTCCTAAGCAGGAAGTCAAATGAGAACAGCATATTTCAGTTAAATTTGAGTGCATGCTAACCGTGCACACCAATGAACTTTTTTCATATTATGTATCAATTATGATGACCATGCATGTGCAAAATACTACTGCATGACGTTTAACAACAGAATCGCTAAAAACTATATTTAAACAGCAAACATTGGTACAAGTAGACCACAGTGAAGTTAGCCTTAGCCAAAATTAATTCAAATGTGGACACATCATAATTATATAGAGCATCACATAGTTTCATCTTGTAAATGGTGAATATTTTTAATGCTGCTGACTGTGAAAAAGAGTAGGACAATCTCCTAATATGTGATAATTATAAAAGACATAAATTTAAATGTAACGTAAGAGCATAGTCTGTGCTAATTAGCTATTGCAGTTGTAATGGGAATCATTAATGTAATATACACGCTAATTCAAAGCCTTCGATTACATCGCAAATTGGCCATATTCATACGCAACACGTACACACTATACCAAGTGTAGTGTAACATCACCATATTTAGTCTTCTAATGGATCTGATCTATGACCACTAGTTTACGTTCTTAGGAGACAGGTACATAATGGCATGTTTGGATTATTGAAAGATATTTGCGGCATCTTACAAAGATATTTTTACATGTACAAAGCTGATATCAATTTTGTAATAAACACTAGTTATGCATTAGTGTGCTTCAGAACATGGTGTAACTAAACCAATAATCTAATTGTACAAAATGTAAATCAAGATAGAAGATAGAAATTCGTCGTGTGATAGCGCTTGACCAAAGGTCCACTCTTATTGAGATTCATTTATTATAATGATGTAATGGACAACTGACCAATCAGAGAGGTTCATTTTGAAAAAAAAAGTCATGTGATGGACAATTGACCAACCAAAGACAAAATAACTTACTGCATCCATGAATGTCAGTTGCTCTGCAAAGACCTTGCTTTCGATCTCCATGAAGCTACTGTAGCTCTTGTTGCGATCATGTATCAAGATGTCGACTTCATCACAAAAGGAGAAGTTGAACTTGCCACTGCCCACAAACTCATCTATAAAAGATAATGGGTCATAGAATGTAAAGCAAAACTTAGACTGATCTCTCTCCATCCTGGTTTGAGGCCAGATTAAATAGGTTGATGATGTTTGCCACACAAAACTATATTTGTCAGTCTTCTGCAACTCTCATCCCGGTTTGAGGCCAGGTTAAATAGGTTGATGATGTTTACCACACAAAACTATATTTGTCAGTCTTCTGCAACTCTCAGTGTTGGCCAAATCTAGGACATGTTGTTCACCAATGTTTCATTTTTTATTTTACTTTATTTATTAATTTGGTACAAACCATGACGGAACTGTGTCAGCCATGATACCACAAGTCATGCAACCCCTTGGAACAAGCCTTTTGAATGTGGAACACCAGGCTCCCTTGAAAATCCAACAACTTTACTCATGCCTCAATCTTGCATAGCCAAGAAATTCGTTATTAGCAGTGCTACAAAAAAATGTTGGTTTGTAATTAAGCAGGAAAGAAAACATGGTACCACACACTAAGTGGCCAAATTATCATAGATTCATGCAGCAATTTTCAATTTGTACAAACATGACATTCCAAGATGGTGTCTATGAGGTGCCAGAGAGGCAAAATAAGCCAATGTTACTGATTGGTCAATGCTTGAAAGCAAAAACCACCAATATTAGCAAAACTATTTTAACACGTTCACTGCCAAGGACATAATGTCAAATGTGTGAGTTTACGTCCACACCTGTCCAAACATACCACTACTGTATTACATGTTAACTCACTGGTAGTGGTCGTCAGAACACAAACTCTTGCCCTGGTGGTTCAAGTAATGATCGAAAAATAGATATTGTATGTTTGTCCTGTTTCATTACAGTTGATGTGAATGATTTTCATTATGGTGGTGGCCTTGGCAATCAACGTGTTAACGTAAAAGCTACAAACTTCTCACCATCACTGTTGCTTTCTTCCACCCTAAATCCCTCCAATTTCAGGTGGGCCCTCTGATGGAGCTCTTTGTCATTAATTTCTTTGCTAAACGCCATCAACCTCTGCAGGCACGGGTGATTGGGTGGCTCACGGAAATCTTCAACATTTTCGTCCATCCACACCATCAACACTGACCGAATGTTCCTAAAGGAATAAAAATGATTCAATCGATATTATCAAAATTTACAAAAAGTTAAATCCCCATTCTTGGCAAAATTTCAGTTGTTAAGAAAAATCTATTTTTATATGTTTATAGATTTATAAATATAATAAAAAATTGCTAGTTTAACTGAATTTAGACATTCCTAAACATGAAAAAAATGCAAAATAAGACTGAAATATGAATAAACGCAGATGAATTTTTTATGTTTGACTTTGCAGTAGTTCTGTGAAGAAACATAGTAGGTGCTGGGAAACATTAGTCTATCAACATTTAGGTTCTGTTATCAGACATTAAAACAGCCGACATGATATTTTCTGTTGCTAGTATTGACACTTTTGAAATATAATATTTCATTGGAATTATTTAAAATTTGTTAAAAAATTTATTCTGAACGAGATTTGGATAATCAAACATATCTCAGGCCTACTTGATTGACCGCAGTGTGCAAGATGCGAAGTACAACACCTAGGGTCCACTTTATTGACTGTATAAAAGCATACATAAAAGTGAAAAAAAAAAAATCATATGTACCATTATGATGTGAAATATAATTTGTAACTACAAAACAAATTACTTTATGAAAACTGAAATGGAATAACATCAGCTTTGACTTTTCACATTAAAAAAAAATTCTGACACTTCAAATTTTCTTTAAAACATTTGCTTTCACTTTTCTTTATACCGTTTTCAACAAATTTCTTCTAGCAAATAAAAGAAATTTTGTTTTTATAGCTCTTCTCTCTATCAGTTTTAAGTTTCCTTGAATAACGTGTGAAACAACTGTTTCCATTGCTTTATATTCTTAGGTTCCTTTTAACCTGAACATTTGTCACTTGTTTCGTCCCAATTTAATTGATAACTTTCATGCCTGTAATTAATGTCAACATCTGTTACATTAAATAGTAGTAGCATTTGCACACATCTTTGGAACATAGTCATTCATGTATTCTAGTTCCTTTGACACACTCCATGTTATTTAATAATTTAAAAAAGAAAACTTCATGATTAATATATTAGTTATTTACAATAAAATAATTTAATCAATATTTTAAAACAAAAAATATTATCAAACAATAACATTGTTTCGATGACTAATATCACACTTATTATTTGTAACAATAAATTTGTACTATATATGTGAGTTACAAGTGAATGTAGGTAAGCACAACCTTGTAATTCCTGGTCCTGAAGTTATCTACAGTAGACTCAGAAATACTGGGTTGGTATCTCGCAGGGGATAGTTTTCCACCATAGTTTAAGACCTACACACAGGGATCTGTAAATCCATTAGGTGCTATATAAATATGGTTTTTATTATCACTTCAATAAAAATTGCATTATAGGCGTTTGAAGAAGCCACTTCAGGCAGATATCTGGTTTAATGAGTTTCTCTTAATAACACTGTGTATTTTGATGTTTGAGTGATACTCATGGCCAGATGAATTCAGGTTAACATGGCAGTAAAAATATGCTAACATTCTGAATGTGCAAGAGAACAGTTTAGATTGCTGGAGATTTTAGCCAGTGGTTCATTCAAAGTCTGAGAGTGCCGGGCATCTAAAGGTGCTATAATAATACATTTTCTGATCATCCTCTATCTGATTTCCTGAAACTTACTGAATTATTGTAATAAAACTGCAATTTATGATATTAATTTAAATAGCATAATAAAAGAGATAACATTCACTGTTTATAAAAAAAATAAAACATATTAGATAAAGTGATGTGTGGAACATTGTGGAAATCTGTTGTTCCACCAAATGATACAGCTTAGAGTATCATTGCTTCAATAGAAAATACCCAGCTGTCATATGAAGTGCATGAGTCCAGATCCCATCAACAAAGGTGAAGTACTGTATTGTTTAAAAGTGAAACATAAAAACGGTGTATATAACACTTAATATGTACTTAATTCTAGTGTTGATGATGGTGATGACAACAATGATGACCAAGGTGATAAAGCTTAATATTTCTTGCGATGCCCAAACATAGCGGCATTTGGAAATCAGGGCATGGCCCCCAATTATTGTCAACCATCGCTCACCCTGTGCAGTTTTGGTTGGTAAAATTGTAACCATCTAAAATCCATTGTTAAGAGATAACAATTATTATTAATAAAAACTTGTAAAGTTGCTTTTATCAAACATCATACAAGTTTTGCAGGCTCTTCCCTCTTGGTAGAGCAATATTTTGCTAAAAAACCACCTGCACGATAATGACAATAATTGATGATGATGATGAATGTTATATGGTTGTAGTAGACGTGATGATGATGTTGTGGTTGTGGTAATGGTGAGGATAATATTGGTGGTAGTGAGAGTGATGATGATAAGGAGAATAAGAGATGATGATGATGATGATGAGGATAAGGGATGATGACAATTGGCATAAAGAGGATTCTTCATGATGATGACAATGGCGAAAAACAACAAGAACATTATGATTACCACAAATAAAATGGATGTACTGATATGAACTTGATTTAAAATTATCGGTATGGAGCTTTGATAGATAAAAATGCCTCATGACCCCACAAAGAAAATGTGCATGCTAATGAGAACATGACTATTAAAAGCCAATGAAGTGATTAATTGTAATATCAAAAATTGCACAACCACTGCAAACCATTTAAGAAATCATTTTACATTTTCCTCATTGACGGTGCCAGACAGTCGAGGGAAAGCTTCTCCAGGTACTTGCCCTTTGTGGCTAGTCTGAGATTAAGACAGAGAAAAAAAAATGTTTGTACAGATTTAATATTCATATATAGTGTATAAAATTCCTTCAGAAAACTGATTACCATGGAAAATATCAAAGTTGGGTGAGAAAAAAGTGAATTAAATCATAGGCCTAATCAGTGTACAATTCAAAATTATTTTACATGATGTTCTTCAAATTTAGAAAGTTAACAGAAACCTAGTGATTTCTATGTGGTTTGGCCAAATTCCTCTTTTCAAGCAAACCACCTTTGACAGAGAAAAACTACTACTGTATCCCACTGCAAACAATCATGATATTGCAATGCTGCAGTCCTTAGCATCTTCAATAACTGACCTACACGAGCCTGTCCCCTAGACTACCCCAGAGGACATACAGTAGTCACCCCCCACCCCCGAACCTCTGGGTTTTTTAATAGTAAACCTCCATTAAATAATCATGCCTGCCTACCTAAACAATGTACTTTACTACAGTAAGAATAGGAAATTGTACAAGAGTATGTTATGTAATATCCCTTTCTGTAGCTCTATAGTACCAATACAGTTTAATAAAGTGATTGCATTGTTTGTATTGTAGCTGTACAATGTATACAATATAAAACTGTGAGAATGCAAATAAACAAATCTACTGTTTATCAATACATTTTAATCATTAAATTTATGTACTAAATATAACAAATATTAGTATCACTATTAGTATGTTAAGACTTCTGTGAATTTCTGTTATATATATGACGAATACCTTTGATATAATATGCTAATTGTTTATGTATGAGTTGGCACATTCCATAGGGAGTAGATTAGGTTGCATGCTATACATAAAGTTTGTCAATGTTCCAATGATCAGGTACAGAAAGAGCTTTGGGACTTTTATGCATAATTGCAATGCTAAATATTATTACTACATGTCATTGTAGGTAATGTAGGCAAAATGGTAATCAAATTAAGTTCTCTACAGCTATCAAAACATCTTCCCTACCTTCTAGCGACATTAAAACTTTTCATAATTTTAGTTTAGATTTAATTTTTTTAGTTAATCTATGAATCATATATTATGTAATGTTATAAAATGTATTTTCCCTTTTTTCATCAGTTTTATAATTAAAAATTGTATAGTTGTTTTCGATAGCAGTTTGCAGTTCGCTATACTGATAAACCAAGAGGCTTAGTTATAAAGATGTCATTAGACCTGACTAATATAATATATTTAAAACAGCATGAATAAATTTTTTTTTTTTTTAGAGTACTATAATTCTACCAATATAATATGAAAGTGTTTTTTGGTTAGAAATCTATCTTCCTTATTTCCTCTAATGCAACATTCTGTGTAAAAAATTACAGTCTAAAATTTGAATAAGTTGTTAACTAGATTATATATTTAATAAAACATTTGAATGTTTAGCCTAAAAACAGCAGGTAAAAAAAAAAAACCAGAAAAATACTTAGGTGTACAGTAGTTTTTCCCTTTAATTTTAATATCTTTCATGAATAATAATACTCTTTTTTATTTCTGCTTGCAATTAATTTGATAGCAGATGGCTTTTAAAGCTTTGGCTCATTCTTCAATTACAAACTTCTGTAAATCGTCGGTCCCAAAAGAAGACATTTATTTATCATCCATATTATTTTATCTTTAAGCACAAAAGTTGAACCATACAGTACCTGGAAATGCCATGCATCAATCCACATTAGAAGCATATCCAATCAGAATGCTCTTTAAAATGAGCTACTTTATCATACCGCTGAATATCTGGAATCTATACTACTACTATTTTGAAAAAAATTCCCTACATTTTTATACAATAATTTATTTGATAATTTTTTCAAATTTAACTGTAGTTTTGACACTGAAAGGATTATTTTTATATCAGAAAATTGTGAATCAGAAACAAAATTTGTGAACTGGGAAAAAAAATAGAAAGCTAGTATCCATTTATACTATAAATAATAATCTATAATAAATAATCGTTTGTTTTGGTCATTATTCCAAATTTTGAATTATAAATTCAGCTGGATCCTCGGGGATCTGTGGTGGCCACAATACAGCGCCAGTACCATTTCCCTGTCTCGCCTAACTCTCATACGAGAGTTATTCAAGGAGCTGAGCGATCGACTGCAACTAAAATCGGATGGCCGGATTCGAACCGGGGGTTCAGCACAAGAAGCCTCTCGGCCGATCTCTCAGGTGGTAGCACAATTCGATAAACATGGTATAAAGAGTCTCGCTAACGACCTATATGAGAAAGCTGACTAAGCCTAGACCTCATAATGTAGTACCAATATATTTAAAAAACGAAACTGAACTAAAAGTTAAAATGTTGGTTAACGTGGTCGTGTGACAGGAACTAATGATCTTGATTAGTTAGAAAACTGATATAAAGATGACTAGGATCCTTATGGCCTACTGTACAACAAAACCACTGGACGTTGTCACATTAAACAAAGGCTATCACTATCATCCGAATGATGTCATTTATACTCACTATGCAATTTTTATCAAATGAGCCACAAAAATGAAATTTTCTAAGATGTTTTTATGGCTATTATTATGGTTATCGATATTACATATATTTAGTGCAGGTTTGAATTCTCTTGAATCTTGATACTTCGACTTATAATATTAAAATAGTAATTTACAAATATTATTAATATTCATTTTCCTCTGACTATAGGTTGCTTGTGAAACTATTTTTCTTCTTTTTTTTGTGTGTGTAAAAAAGCTAAACATTCAAGTTTGGTGTACTGTAGGGTAGTCAATACATTCTCTCGGGAAAGTGTTACATGCACTACCAAAGTTTTAAATAATGATACAGAATTTACCAAATAAAGTATAAGAGCAGGGAGTTTGTTTGACTTTACTGAAAAAGTAAATCTTAAAGAAAGCCATTCACTATGAACTACAGTTCAATAGGAATCATTTAAAAACATTTTGCCATTTTCATACACATATAAATTTGAGGTAAACTACAAAGTTTCCAGTATTACACCACATGTTCAAATAGTCAACACAAACACAGGAAATTGTCTTGATTAATGAATCATGTTCTTTTATAATAGAATTACTAATGCTTCACTATTCAATATACATTGATAAAAAAAAGATATATTAGTACACTAGCATTGAGGAAAACACCTACTTTTATAATATAAGCATAAAATAATGATAAGCA